CAGGTAGTTATAGACTCAGAGATCATTATGGTTAAATATTCAGCTTAGATTTGTAAATACTCTGTGAGATCTTGTTTATTTATTTACTTTCTTGATATTTATGTCCTTGATCTAACTACATCTTAATATCTTATATGAAGTTTTGTTTATCAGTTTCATTGCATTTTATCTTCATCTAGATTTCATTTATATCTCAAATATTGTCACCGCAGTCCAACATGAGGATTTTGGTTACCGGAGGAGCTGGTTTTATTGGTTCTCACTTGGTTGACAAATTGATGGAAAATGAGAAAAATGAGGTCGGTAGATTTCCGTATCTTATCTATGCTTTTTTCCTTGTTTAGAAATGATAAGCAGAATTGATACAGGGATCGTATCCAACTATGGTTACTATGTTTTGTACCAGTATTTATGTTTACCTTATACTCAGGTGATTGTTGTTGATAACTACTTCACTGGATCAAAGGACAATCTTAGAAAGTGGATTGGTCATCCTAGATTTGAGATTATTCGTCACGGTAAGTTTGTATTGTTTTAGGAGCATTTGTTTTTCATTGTCATAAGGTCTAATATTGTGGTGAATCATAATGGGTCAGTGTGTAGCTGCTCCATAGGAACCATGCTGGCTGTTGTTGTATCTCGTATTCCAAATTCTCCGTGCTGAATTGAAATGGATGGATTTTGGATAAAAGACTGTTCAGATGATCATATTACTATATTAGGGAAACAGATCTTGAAAATTTGACTTTATAGATTCTGAATCATCATTCACTTTGCCTCCACTGCAAGGTATTGCAAAACAAATGGTTCAGAGGGAAATGGGAAGCGAGTGCAAAAGTTTCGTAAATAATGAAAATATGTGATTGTGTTTCTTCCAAAACTAGTGTAATGTCAAAATACAAAAGGACTGCATTGGTACATTGGTCAAAATGTATTTCTTTTTCTTTTCCAGCAATTGAATATGCATCTCTTCTTTCCTTTGCAGATGTTACCGAGACGCTGTTGGTTGAGATTGATCAGATTTACCACCTTGCGTGCCCGGCATCTCCAATTTTTTACAAATACAATCCTGTGAAGGTGGGTGTTGGTGTTTCTGATTGCTTTCTAAAATATTTCTGGCCAGTTCATTAATTTTTACTCTGTTTTCCCATAGACAATAAAGACAAATGTCATTGGCACACTGAACATGTTGGGACTTGCAAAGAGAGTGGGAGCAAGGTATGAGATTGTTGTTCCCTATCACTATATTTAAGTTGCCCTCTCTACTGGCTCTACTCAATTGGTATTTTGCATAACAGGATCTTGCTCACATCAACATCCGAGGTGTATGGGGATCCTCTTATCCACCCCCAACCTGAAACATATTGGGGCAATGTTAATCCGATAGGTAAGTCTGACTGGAAGAATGTATACTGTCATACGGCATTATTCTGACACTGAATGCTTCTTTCTTTAGGTGTCCGGAGTTGCTATGATGAAGGGAAGCGTGTGGCTGAGACCCTAATGTTTGATTACCATAGGCAGCATGGGATAGGTAAATTTTCTTGGTTTGTCTGAATGATGGTATCCTGTTATTTTTATTAATTCTTAACATTGTTCTTGTATCTTTTGCCATAGAGATCCGCATTGCTAGAATCTTCAACACATATGGGCCACGCATGAACATCGATGATGGGCGTGTTGTCAGCAATTTCATTGCTCAAGCACTTCGGTAAATATTGTGTTATAATGCATGCAATATTATGGTTACCATATAACCTGCCTCCATTTTGTTAAGTAATAAGTTTGTTTCAACAAGACCCCAATTTACTTATCAGTTACCGACTTAATCAAAGAACAAGAAGAAGCTGCTGCCTAACTTTTGTTACCTTCTAGTCATTTAGAAAACTTCTTTTCCTTCCAGATTTTCCCATGAGCTAGTTTGTCTCTCATTTAACTTTTCTTTTGCACTTTGTAGGGGTGAACCACTGACAGTTCAAAAACCCGGGACACAAACTCGCAGTTTTTGTTATGTCTCGGACATGGTATGCTACTTATTATGAATTTGAATGTTTTACTAGCTTTAGTTACTTGTGATAGTATCCCTCTGTTATAATAGATTAAAGTATTACCATTTGCATAAACGGATAGGTTGATGGCCTTATTCGTCTCATGGAGGGGGAGAACACCGGTCCAATCAATATCGGAAACCCAGGTTATTTCACAACTTTTATGTTATAGGCAGTGTAAATCTAGGATGTATCTTTAGTTCTGAGGCTTCCGGCCATTGTCATTCGCTTAATCCTCTAAATATTTTTTGTACTCTTTTAGGTGAATTTACCATGCTCGAGCTTGCTGAGACGGTAAAGGAGGTGAGTTTCATAGTACTACCCTTGTTGGGAATTTTTTTGGTGTTCTGAATGTTTTTGAAACTTATCCGGTTCCTGTTTCATGTTGCATTGTTGCAGCTTATTAATCCAAAGGTGGAGATAAATATGGTGGAGAACACTCCAGATGATCCGAGACAAAGAAAACCCGACATCATGAAAGCGAAAGAGTTGCTAGGTTGGGAGCCAAAAGTGAAGCTGCGAGATGGTCTTCCTCTAATGGAGGAGGATTTCCGGTTGAGGCTCGGAGTGTCCAAAGAGGCATGAAAGTTAAAATAAGAAAAGCATGAATGAATTATACACAGTTGGATCGAGTGATTTCAGTGCTTGTGGTGGGAAAACTGGGAGCTTATGTTATTTGTGATCTTTAGTTTATGATTTCATAGAAAATAAACCCCACAGAATGTGAGAATTTGTGAAACTGGTTTAATTTTGGTATGGCTTATTGATGGCGCTGTTCCCTTGGATTTTGTTCGTTACAAGCAATTAATAAAAATTCCATGATTATTATGTGTTTTTTTTACTTTCTTGGCCAACTATTTAGGTGCACCAACCTGCCTATGTTTAGTAAATTTCTTTACCACAATCCATCCAATTCTTTTTAGTGGAAAAACAGCTCAGCTGGTGCTTTCTAATGGGGTTTGTGAATCACAAGTAGTTGTAGATCTATCTACTTCGATTTGGAAGGCAAAAAGATTGTATGATTTCCGTTGGGAGGAATGATTTATTTATAGTGCTTCTTTTTATTTTGATCAAGTATATTTCGCGAAAGAGGTTTGCTTGGATTTGTAGTGTTTTGGTCTCTTAAGTCTGATATACAACTCAATTTACTAACATCTTAACTAGTATGAAGAGCCCATGAAAATTACAAATCAGAAGATTGATACAATCACTTGAATCAAAATCAACGAAAACATCTGAGATACAATGGTAATTCTACGATATGACAATCCAATTTAAGATTAAAAAAATGAAGGATATAAACACAATCGAAAATGTGATAAAACATTTTAGATTGAACTCAACCATAAATATTATGCATTTTATCATATTTCCGTTGATTTTCAATCTTAAATTAAGTTACTTTCCCGAGATACAAACCACTCCACCCCATTTGACAGTAGCTGCCATCTCTGTCACGGGTTTAATTAAAACTCAAATTCAATTTGAAAACCCTTAGGTTCCGACCATCAAATGAGGCAACTTCAAATATTCTAATTATTCAAAAGCCTAATCAAGTTATTACTTGATAGCAGTCATAGTCATTATTCCCAGCTAATGGTCATTATTGAGAAGCCTGCAATGTTTACCTGGGAACGACCATATACAGCTAGCTGTGTAAAACTACTCATACTTAACCATCATTAAGAACTGGCAAACAATGGCACATAATGTCAAGTTCCAATTTTCATGACCAAAAAGGCCAGAATCAAGGGCAGCAAACATAGACAATAGTTGTGAAGATGTTTTTAACATCTATTCAATGCAAAATCATTAATAGATGACCAAAAAAAAATCACAAATAGAGTGTACTAGGAATTTGATGTCTTCTGTTATTTTTATAGTTCGTTGGGAAAAGATAAAAAAGGGAAACAACCTAGCCACTCATTACAAGGGATCACAACCATATAGGCCTCTCGAATCAGTTGATCATCTGCATAAACAAAGAAAACAAGGAAACATTATTCACAACTTCAGATAATGTTCAAAGCCCAAACATCTGTCATTTCCAAAGAGGGAAGATACAACATCAAAACGTAATCGACTACAATTAAAGAGAACTCAAATTATAGCATGTTTAAATCCATATATGTTAAACCCTCTTTATCAATGCTGTTATAATCCTTGAGATGCAAAAAACTATAGATTGATCTCCTAACCCGTTTCCCATGGCCATAGATGCAGTAACGTGGTAATGTATTTTAATAAGATTATTATAAGTTCAGAACTGTCTATGCCAGAAGTAATTAAGAATATTGAAAAGACATCTCAAAGTATCTAATCTATGAAAAAACAAATTTAACTCCTAGAACTTCCTAATTTTCACATCATATCACTTAGTTCCTGGATAAAAAACTAATCGATTGTCTTACGATTGTATCCCGGCACTTCTAAATTTCTACTGCATACTGATAACCGGTATCCACTCAGATCAAATTTGACTTCATTTTGCTTTGTTTTGTTTCTCTCCCATCATTTGGATTCACTTTTTGTACTTTCAAACAGACTCCATGAACCATGAACTCTTAAATTGCTTTTTTCAATGGAAAAATTGATTGCAATGTATACACATTAAAGAATGTTCAATCTTAAAGCACCACGAACGATGAAAGACTCCATTTTTTTTATATGTTCCGTATATCGAAATCAAACATAAACCGCTTACTTCTTCAGTTTTGAAACATAACTTAAAAAGAAAAGACACTCGAAAGGGAAATTACTGCGGCTAACATTACAACAGAAACCCTTAGCTCTTACAGTTTAAACACGAGTCTCAGATCTGCATATTAAAACAAACACTGCAAAATTCTCTAAAATCCATGTAAAGGAGCCACACAAGCCTTTAATCCTTGATTCAAACCAAATCACCAAAAACGAAGAATAAAAATTTCGAAACCAGAAAATAGGGTTTCTTTACCTCTTGTGCTTCTGAGCAAACGGAGAGTTCTTCTCATCTTCCTCTGCTTAAGGGGAAAATGAATAGTAAAAATGCAATTTTTGTATTTGCAAATATACAGGCGTATGAAAAAAAAATAAAAATTATAATTTGACAGTAAAATAAAATTGTTACCGGTGAGACCAAGGGAGAACTTGGTGATGATGGTTCCGGTGACGGCGAAACCAACAAGGAAGGGCCAGGTGCGGTTGAACTCTCTTTTGAAGAACACGGGCCATGGATCGAACCATCTCTTCATCTTCCTTTCGCTTTCTTTTTCTTCTTCTGATTTTTGCTCTTTACTTGGGTAAGCTGTAAACAAGGGGAGGAGATCGATATTTGTTGAGGAAGTTAAATATTTGTTTTATCATGGCCGTTGGATTATCAGACGGTTTTGTTGAGATCGGGTCTATAAAGGGTTTGGGGTTTGACGGGTTTAGTCAAACTGGCTCAAGTCTGTCTCCTTAGTTTAATGGGCCCATCAAAAGCATAGTAGAGTTAGGTGTACCAAGTTCGAAATTTTGATATATATATATATATATATATATATATGAAGGTCATCTTAAATAATGTAAAATTCTTTTAATTTTACATAGATTTAAAATTTTTTGGATAAATAAAAATAGATAGTTGAGATTAAAAGTATAAAATGTGAAGATATTTACAGGAAAAAAAAATAAGGAATCAATCTCATCTATCTATTTTTACTTATCCAACGATCCTATAATGTGTAAAATTAAATAATTTTACACATTGTAATTTTTTTTAGTTTTAAAGAAATTTATGATAGTTGGATGTATGAAAATATATGAATAAAATTAAGTGACTAACATTAAAAAAATGAAAAGATATCTATTAAAAAAATCAATAAATAAATCTAAATCGTTTATTTTCACTTATCTAATTATCCTAAATTTATATAAAATTAAAAAAAATTACACTAGTAATTAAATTTTAATTTTTATTTTTATTTTTTTTGTACAAAGGAATGTAAAATCGAAGTCGTTTTTCGGATTAGGGTTTAGAGTTTCCTCTCCACTTTTATCAGCTTCAAGCAAACGCCTCATTTCTTCTGGCGGTTCCTCTAACATTTTCATGTCTCTTTTTTCCTTCAACACCATTTTTGCTAAGAAATCAGCATATTTATTCACTTCTCGCCAAACAAAGGTTATCTCACTAATCTCCAACTTTCGCATCAGAATTTTACACTCTCTCACGATGGCATTTTGTTGCAGGTCTTTATCCTCCGTTTCTTCTCCTACAATGGTTTCAATGGCTTCCTTGGCGTCAGATTCAACTTTGAGGCATTTTAAACCCAATTCTTTTGCAGTAATCAAACCTTGTTTTATTCCCCAATTTTCTGCTAAGAGACTATTGGCCTTACCAATGTTTATTATGTATCCGTAAATTCAATCTCTTTTTTCGTTGCGAAGAAGGCATCCAGCCCCTGCTTGGGCTGTAAATGAGACGACACGACGAGCTATTCGAGATCGACTCGATAAATAATCGGTTCGAATGGACTAGAGCTCGAGCTCAATTTAAATTTTTAACGAACTAAAATAACCTACTTAATATTCGACTCGAAAAATTCGTGAATACTCGAAAAAAAAAATATATTAAGATATTATTTTTTTAAAATAAATTATTAATAATATTAACATTTATGTTTTGATTTTTTTTTAAAAATACAAGACTCTTATATATTTAAGGTTTAGATTCGAATTTGAACTTGAGGTTTCAATCTAATTAAGTTTAAGAATTTTTTTTTTCATTTCGAACCTTTTCGATTTGCTCACGACTTTCAGTTCAGAATTTTGTGTTCGAGTCGAGCTTAAAATTTTTAAACTCACGAGTTTTTGAGTTGATCTTTATTTCAGAATTTTTGAGTCGAGTTCAACAATACTCGAGCTTGACTCGGTTCGTTTACACCCTTAGCTGCTGCAATTCCGGTTGATTTCATGCAACCTCGATCAGAATTTAAGACGTACGATCTTTCCGGAGGTTTAATCCACTTGACCCATCCAGGCACTCGTAAATTCTTCTCTTTTAGTGTTATTTGCTCTTTCTATATCCTTCACAAGATTGCGGCCATATTGCAAAATGTGGTTTGGGTTCCTAGTTTTTCTATTGAAAATTGCTTCATTTCATTCCTTCCAAATACCCCAGAACATCATGGTGAAAACGAAATCCCCTCTAGTTCCTTCCGAGTTTATTCTTTTAGAGCAACTATTCCGTTTGATCCAATCAATAAAATCATCTTATTCCTTCGATTTCATACTATAACAACGTTCGACCTCTTCCCACACTGTCTTTGCTATTTTACAGTGATGCAAGATGTGTTCTATAGATTCCAATACCCTCTGGCATTCTTTGCAATCCATCTCATCTGTCATATTTTTCTGCTTTCGAATCTCATTTGTATTCAATCTGTTCAAGCATCTTAGCCAGATGAAAAACCTTATTCGATCCGTGGTGTTTATTTTCCATATCCACAAGAATTTTCTATTATTGGATACCACTTCGTTGTTATTGATAATGTCAATGAAAACAGATTTAACTGAAAATGTCCTATCTTTTGAGTAACCCAATCTAGCCGAATCCTGGTTATGAAAGTCTTCACCTCTAGGAATATAACCTTTCGAATCTGCTCCAAAGTGTTTTCGGACACTAATTGTCCAACCTCTTGAAGATTCCAATCACCATTCGTAGTAATATAATGCGCAACCTTCTCCGTTCTAGTAGAAGTATCGGCATTGGGATATTGAAGACTAAGGGTTCCTTGCCTAGCCACCAATTGTGCCAGAAGCTGATATGCTCCCCAGAGTTAACTTTCCATTTGCTTCATTTCCTAACAATATGTCGAGTTTTCAAAATTTCTTTCCAAGTAGAAGAGCTGTTACTTTGGACTTCATAATCCATAAGTCGAGTTTGTTTCAAATATTTGATTTGAAATATTTTACACCACAAGTTGTATGAAGCTGCCAACCATTTTTTGCCATTAAAGGCAAATTCATGTCCCTCGCTTTCTGAAGATTAAGACCCATGTCCGATTTGGATTTGTATTACCTCGTTTCAATTCACTAAGTGATTGTGTTTATAATCAGCCTCTTCTCCCCATAAAAAGTTCCTGTTGAGTTTGTGCAACTTATTCCATAGTATCGTTGGGAGAAGTTTAATTTGTATCGTGTGGACTGGAATTGCTGTCGTAGCCGTTTAAATTAGCGCTTGTCGTCCGGCCATTGAGAGCACTTTTCCTTTCCATCCTACCAGCTTGTTCATGACCTTCTCCAAGATATAAGAATAGGTCAAAGAACTTTTTTTGTGAACAATAGGTACCCCCAAAATACGTCCCAAGGTCGGTGGATAAGGGGATCTCTCTTAAAGTTGTTAGGTAATTGGATGTTTCTTGGGCGATATTCGGAGAGATGAATATCTTCGATTTTTTCAAATTAATGGCTAGCCCGAAGCTTTGCTAAAGTATCTTAGGCATTCCTTAGCCTTACAGACTTGACTTGCGCTAGCCTCCATGAATAGAAGAATGTCATCTGCAAAATAAAAGATGACTATCATCATTACCTCTTCTAGATAGTTTGATGGCTTTCCATCCACTAGTATCTGTTTCCTCGAGTATAATTTGGGATAATCTTTCCATTACTAAAATGAATAAGTAAGGGGATATGGGATCTCCCTGTCTTAGTCCTTGTCCGGGAAGAAAGCCTTTGATTTTTTCGCCATTCCAAAGCACTTCAACTTCACTGTTTTTTATACAATACATAACGAGGCAAATCATATCATAAGGCGAGCCAAAATCCTGCATATTTTTTCTTAAAAAATTCCAATCCACATTGTCATAGGCCTTTTGAAGATCTATTTTCATTACAATAGCGCCCTTTCAGCCTTGCATTTTCATAATAGTGTGGACCACCTCTTGAACGATTAAAATTTTATCTGTTGTACTACGACCTGCCAAAAAGCAATTCTGGAAGAGACCTATAATCCTTTGTAAAATAGGTCTCAATCTGTTAACCATGATTTTAGAGAGAATTTTGTAAGTGTTAAACAGACAAATGGGACAAAAGAGTAATTCTGTCTGTATTTTTAATTTTTGGGATAAGAACCAAATTCACTTTAAGGATACAATCTTCAACTCTCTTCCTGGCCATGGAATTTCTTACGAACAGAAAAAGAGTGTCTTTGATTGTTTCCCAATGTCTTTTTGTAGAAAATAGGTTGTATACCATCAGGTCCCGGAGCTTTTAGGTTCTTCATGCTAAAGAGAGCCTTCTTTAGTTCTTCCAGCGTCACCTCTTTAGAGAGATCATTTTCTTCTATGATGGAAATTTTTGGTAGGAACTTTTATACTCCTTTTGCAATTCTTCCCCATCTTTTCTAGCGAAGAGATTTTTATAATAATCCACATGTCTCTCAAGGGTTGTTTTATCAGTAATCCACGAATCACCCATGTAGAGGCCCAAAATTATGTTGTTCTTTCGTCTGATCTTTGTAGTGTTATGGAAGAATTTAGTATTCCTCTCTCCCTTTGAAATCCAATCTAATCTAGACTTTTGGAGCCAAAAAATTTCCTCTTGGGTTAAATCTTTCTGCTATTCTTCCATCAGTTATTTTTCAATTCTTTTGAGACGAATTGAATGAAGGTAATTTGGGGAGTTTTGAATTCCTTTCGGTCTGCTCTTAATCCTTCTCTTTCGTTTGAAAATAGTTTCAAAAAAATTCCTCTTTCCAAATCGGAACCTCTTTTTTCGTTTCCTCTATAGCTTCCGGGAGGGACGTTCTTTTTCTATTCCAGGCTCTATTGAACACATCTTTGAAATCTGCATGTGAAAGCCATATATATTTCTGATTCTAAAGGGTCTCATTTCCTTGTCCATCGGGTAAATCATATTGGTGTTCAGGAGAATCGGATGATGGTCAGAGTAGCATCTCGCAAGAGTGAAGGAACACATATTAGGAAAGAGATCAATAGCTTCGGTATTATGAAGAGTTCTGTCCAATCTTTCTTGAAGAATAATATTACCATTGTCTACTTCTCACCTAAGTGAATTTATTTCCAACCCATCTCGCGTCCATAAGCTTGCATCTGTTCCAATAGTTTCTAAATTTTATAATCTGATCAACACGATTAGATTGACTTCCTTCTCTTTCATCGATAGAAACAATATCGTTAAAATCACCCATGACAATCCAGGGTTTATCAATAGTATCGGAATAATTACTCATATCCTCCCCAATAATCTTCCTTCTTCCTGGAGGAAGGCTGGATGTAGACGAAACTTAGCAGCCAAATTTTTCCATCCGTTTTTATGTTACAGTGGATAGCCTGATCAATTCTATAACTTACAGTAACGTCCATAAGACTAGAATTCCATATTAAAATAAGGCCACCTTTTAAACCTTCAGCAGGGACTTCGATAAAATTATCAAATTTTAGCTTTTGGCAAATTTTATTACCCATACCAGTGTCAGATTTTGTTTTGAGAAGGCACATAAGATCCGGGTTTTCTTTTTTTCACCAAATCAAAGACATTCCTTAAAAAATTAGGGTTCCCCGCCCTCTACAGTTCCAAGATATCTTTTTTGATAAGGAAAAATCAGTTTTGGTCACATTACCCTTATCAATAGGGTTGTATTCCTCTTTATTAACAATGTCACCCAATATAACATGATCCATCCTATGCAACTCTGTCACCTCAGTAACGTGATTGGTATTAATTTGAACTCGAGCTTCTACAGGATCCAATCTCATTTTCTCCGCTCGAAAAAACTCTTTTGAAGTACCTTCTGTTGAAGCAGTTCGGTCTTGTTGCCTATTCATTCTAATTAAGATACTCTTTTTGAACTTATCATTTCTTCGTTTTGTTGTGTTGACCATCTCTTTGTTCTGATTGTATTGGGAGCTTCCCCAAACTCGTATCTTTTTTATTTTTATTTCCAGTTCCTCTCTCTCTCTCTTGGGGACAGCTTGATTTGCTACATCTGTTCTCTCCGTTTCTTCTTCATTCTCAAAGACCTGGAATATATTACCATCCTGATTTCCCTTCCTCTTTTTATCCTGATTTTTTGGAGTACCACGATTAAAACGTTGCTTTCTTTGGACAAGAATCCATGGCCCAAAATTTTCACTTTCAGTTTCAGTTCTTTCAACAAGTTCTCTACTTTGAGAGGGTTGGTCTTCCTGGACATCCTCCCTTTCTTGATTAGGTTGAGTCTGATCCTTCCCTAAGTTTACCCTGTCATCTGTTTGGAATTCAGCTTTGACTTTTTCTTGACTTTTTAGAATACATTGCGTTGTTCTATGTCCCACCATTCCGCAATTAAATCAGATCAAATGAACACCGATAGTGCTAGCAATACAGATCTTGGAAAGTAATGGTTTGCTTAAGTCGACCTCCACACATATTCTAGCAAATTTTCCTCTTATTGACCAAGCTGTTCTATAGTCGATCTTTATTGGAGTGCCTATCATTTTGCCGATGTTAACCAATATATCCTTATCGAAGTATTCCATTGGGAGATTCAGAATGTGAACCCAAATAGCAGTAGACGAAATGCTAGCACTGTTGGCTAAAAAATTTGGACGCCATTTTTGGACCGTTAGGTAATGATCCATTATCTTCCACGGACCCTCCGTTACCAAGATTGATGCAATCAAAATCACCTTCTAGTTTCTACATGGAGGTTATTCTACTGATTAGCGTTTTGTAGGCTACCGATCTGCCCAGCAGCTTTAGGATTAAAGCTTTCCTCCAAGGTTTTCTAATCTTTTCTTTAATTTCTGCAGGAACATTGATTGTAGGAATTTCATCTTCTTCCATCTCGTTTTCTTCATCAGAATCGACTTCTTCCTCCTCTATTCTTTTGGAGTTCTGGAATATTCCAGAAAAATTCGGTGAGTATACAACGGTATCTCTCCAAGATCTGTCTGATTTCTTCGTCTTGATCTGCTCCATCACCGTTAGTCCTAACCCGTTAGATATATATATATATATATATATATATATATATATAACACGATCTTAAATTTACGTATAACTAAAAAAATTACATTATGTAAAAGAATTGTAACAATATATGCATGCATCATGTTCAATTGGTTGTGCGCTAGCTAACTTAGGAAAATATGCGGGGGTTCGTTGGGCCCAAAAAGGAGTGTCTGATGTATTATATTTTGACAAGAGGCGTGTTTAGAAAAGAAATGGAAGGAACTTATTGGGTATTCGCATCAAAGAGACTTTTTTCTATCAATAATCTAATGATCTCTCTACCCTATAAAAGTGCTATATTTTTCTTCCAATTCATTAGAGAAATCGTAAAATTGATCTGAAAGTCGTTAAGACTATACCAATTGCTCGATCAAAAATTAGTTACTTATTCTAGTCACCCATCCCAATATACATAAAATGTTATTTTATATATTTTGTTTAATGTTTACATGTACATATTTTAGAAGGAGTACATTTTGTCATAATTATAAGTCTGTAAGAAACACGAACCAAACGACTTTGGTGGTAAAAAAATTGTTGGCATTCCTTGAGGTCTCGGGTTTGAATGAACATATGTTATCTTGTATTTACTCTAGATTCATACAAAAAAGTCTGTAACTGAGGATTATAAGTTGTGATTGATTTTAGAGTAATAATTGGTTTCAGAGTTGTCCATGAAAAATTTCCATGTAATTTGATCTAATTTTTTTAGATGTAGAAAGAAACTAACATTGTATATAGTCCGAAATCAGATTAGAAATGATATATTGCTTGATTATTGTAACCCCTAAACCCGACCTAGATATTACGATCAAATCTCGACGGTCACATATCGTATTTAAAAATCCTTTTCAAATTCAAAACGTTGTTGAAATATATTTCAGTGAATAAAATATATAATAGTGAAAATATGAAATATACCACATTAAGATTCATACGATAAACATATACATTTACCAACATCGAAAATCTGCATAAAAACATGCATAGAAACAAAATACAGGTAATACAAATGCATAAAAACAATAGTAAAAACTCGTGTCACTAAAATATAATAGAAAGAGCATATAGAAATATACAATTGGTATAAAAAGGAGAACATTATATCCTCCTAATGCCAAGTATGTTAGCTTACTATTTGGTAATATCTAAAAAGCTAATTTTAGTTGTTAATTTGAGCCTTTTTATTTATTTTCGATGCAGAACATTGAATTCCAGAAATTATGTTAAGAACAATGAAATCGTGTAATTTTTTTTTTTGGATTTATGGCTGGATTAGTGGGCACGATTTGGGACATGACACATTCGACATGGCGTCTAGTTAGCGGTTGATGTGGCAATTGATGTGGTGATGACACGACAGCTGAAGTAGTGATGACATGGCAGGTGACGTGACACCCATTTAATAACTTCTAGAAGGCCAAGTCAGCAACTTCTACAAGATCCGATCAGTAGTGGTGTGGAGAAGGAGACATAGTTGAATTTTTGATTTTAAATTAGGATTTATCTTATTTTTTATTTTTAGGAATTATTTTTTGTTTTGTATATTAATTTTTAGGGTTTTTAAGGACTATAAATACTCCGTTGGGGTAAGCTTCAAGGCATCATTCAACTCATCACTTGAGCATTCAGTCTCTTTCATACTCTCTTGTTTCTTTCTTTCTTTAGATTTATGAAAGTTTTTCTTTCTTTTTACTTTTCATGTTACTTTATTTCTCTTTCAAAATGCTATGTATGGTTTCTACCATGCTTAGCTAAGTTTTCTATAGCTAAAGACTAGAGCAATGACTCAATTCTAAGTCGTGAGAATCGAAAAGCGCTTTATACCCTAAAAGGTTACATTTTTAATTTTCTGAAATCAAGGATCGAAAATTCACTATCATTTTGATTATTTTTATAATCAAGACGATTTTATTTCAAAAAGTGCACGTTGGAATTGAATTTCGGTTTCGATTAATAGTTGGGATGAAGGATTGGCCTGTGACACATTTGACTTCTTATGAACACACTTAGCGGTGGTACGTTAAGGGAAACTGAAATCGTATTAGATTCTCAATTGAAACGATAAAATCGAAGTTGGGTTTTCCAAAATTGAAAGGTGTTGAATTAATAAGCGATTACCACTATTAACTCACAAAGAGTCTAGATCTAAAAATTGATTTTAGATTCTCGATTCATTTGAGAAAAAAATAAGTTATAAAGGTTGGACCCTATAGACTGTAATCCGTATGGGCCCGAAGATAAAGTCTTATTCGATCATCGATTTAAATCGAGGCAAAAGCTTTAGCCTAAGGTTGATTTTTACCAATGGAATTTTATTTTATTTATTTATTATTTTATTTTGTTTCAATCAATTTTATTACTTCGCTTTAATTCTCCAAAATATCCCCTCTATTTTCTTTTACAAATCACGGCTGAAGCAGATCAAAAGCGAGGAAATCATCAAACTCCTAGTCTCTGTGGATCGACCCTTACTCTCAGTATTATACTCATTCTTATTCATTTTATTGGGATTAATGCTATTTATTTTAACATCATAACGATGCGTGTCACCTACTATCTGGTAATATCTGAAAAGCTAAAAAGTAAAGAGTAAGTTAAAAAGCTTAGTGTGCTCCTTACGGTGTATAAAAACATTTAGATAAATACTTCAATAAAAATTATAAAACATGTTTTCAAAAGATGAACATTACCCTCATCCAAACACTAAAATGTGTAGGTTCCCCTAAACCATACACCCACTTGTACACCTAGTAAGGACCTTATACTTACAACATAAGTACTTGCGATAAGGGCTTACATTGTGCACAAAGCATAGGAGCCTGAGATAATGTCTTACAAGTCATAGAATAAGTTTGAGATACTTCCTCAAATAATACCTCAATGACAGTAGATATGTATATATTTGAGTGAAAATGGTAGTTTAATTTAGTAAAACATGAAAATATTTCTTATTCGAAAATTGCATACATAAATATGGTAACAAGAGATTATGTCAGAAGTATAATATAAATCATATATGAAAACCCAGTGTATACGATAAATCAATTATCATGTAATCAAAATATTTAATATCATTAGAATTCCAAAACAGTAATGTAACACCATCAGGAACAAACCCGTATTGGATTTAGAAGTCTGGTAGGGTAGCCTACTATTGGGTCTGCCTATCACGATCAATAATAATGCTAGATCCTACAAATCAAAAAACTAGATCAAAATCCTAATATAACAAATAATAAACTTTACTTAAATAATTTACTGAAACCTATGAGTAGCTCTCGAAGAACGTGGATCATACAGATCTGTTGGACATGAATCGCCAGATCTAATCGACCCTAAATCGGGGGAAACACGAGCACCTTAATAAAAATATGTTCTCAAATCAATGCTATATTCAATACACAAATAATCCTGTAAAAAATACTAAAAATATTAAGAATTTTCAGGTTAACAGGCTTGTTTCGGGGCTTTAGTAAACAAACCGTAAAATCATACTCAAGTCATCGAAAAACGTTAAGGAGTTTTTTTTTTAAAAAATAACATCAATCAATGGTCAAAGCCAACATCAGTCAACAGTTAACGGTTATTAGTGAGGCTCGACTCGGCTAGCTCGCTTGGTTAGATCGATTTGGATCGGTTTGACTAGATCGATTTGGTCCAATTTGGTTGGGCCAATTCAGTCCAGACGGGTTGGGCCGAATGGATTTTGGGTTGGACAGTTGGGTAAGGTTAGACGGGTCGATTACAGGTCAACGGGTAGACTGACCTGATTCTAGAACCCCCACTAGGCTGTTAAGAAGTCTCATGCGTAGCAATGCCGCGTGAGGATGCGTGCGACGGTCATAGAGGCTGAAAAATTTTGCAAAAATTCCTAAAATTCAATTTAATGGGTTTTGAGTCACTTATCAAGCTTAGTTCACAACAGTGAACGACGGAGAGCTTATTTTCGAAACATCGAAAACTTGTTCTCTTCACACCGACAAAAATGATGATGAAATAAACACCGATGGACTCAAGAGAACACAAGGATTCTAACGGTACAAGAGGTGTCATAAATGGAGCTTCGATCGACGATAAAACGACGTTTGAAATTTCTTGAATGAAAGTTGCTAAAAGAGGAAAAGAAAGAGAAATAGTAGAGAGAGAAACTCTTAGGACTTTCTAAAAATGGAAAGTTCGAGTAATGGAAGCTTTTAAACTCACTCTAATCAAAGCTTTTGCTTCTTTACAAATTTTTTCTTATTTTGATTAAAAATTCACTTTGGTCCCTAAATTTATTTAAAAGTTTAATTTATTCCTCAAAACTAATTTTAAGAAAAATTTAACCCCTAAATTAGGGTGTGACAACTCTCCCCCTTAATGGAAATTTTTTCCTCGAAATATATATGATATGAACAGATACGAAACCTGAGCTTCTATCGACTCCAATATCTCCTAAATAGCTACAATTTACAAAACCTTTCCATTTTGTACAAGTGACATTCTTTAACGCTTTAAATCTTTGTTAATAGCATGACTTATTCAATTGCTTTTACCACATCTTTGTTACTTCACTTTAACCAACGTCTATATTTAGAACAATACTTTTTTTATTATTATTAATCTATAATAAGTATAAAATAATATTTGTTTAAAGATAACTTTCAATGATTTGATATTAAACTTTTTTACTCATGATATTCAAAGTGCTTGAAGCCGATACCTTACGAAATAACAATAATTAATTTATCATTGATATCGCTTGGTTCGTGCCACAATCAATAATTTCAAGCAAATATTTATCACACATTACACATATTTTGATACTTTTTTTTAAAAAAATTTGTCTAAGATTACACAACACCGTAACACACTTGCATAATTTATTTTGGATTAATATGAGGTAAGTATAATGCAGTATTTGTTCATAGATAATGTAGATACTAATTTTTCATTTTACTTAAATTATTATTATTATAAATATT